GACAGGTAATAATGTGTTAAGCTGTTTTTGAAAAGATTTACATCCTTGATGTGCTAACTCTCATTTGTCCTACTGATCTTTCTGATTCCTGTTTGGTAATGGAATCCTTTCAAACCACCTTGGGACACGGTAAAATCCACATGAGCAGAATGTCGGGTACTGACAAAATCCACTTTACATGCTTCCTAGTCAGTCCGGTGGGACAGTTTTTTTGTGCCAGTGGCTGGTAACATGTCAGTATTGCAATATGACTTCTGTTTTTCTCATGTAAGCAAATGCATCTGGATATAGCTTTCCATCTGGCAGTGTTCTATACCTCCAAAAGGATTATATCAGGGTTTTGAGATTTTACCTGCTGCTGTTACAGACGTAAACTTACCTTCTATCTTGTATTTTTCTTCTACTTTTGAATCCCTGGTTGTCAAGATCATGCCAATGTATTTGCTTTCTCTGGTATGTTGAAATTATCTGTGGAGTTACAGGTGTACAATCGGGTTTTGGTTTTGTTGTGAATTAACTCTGCAAAAATTAAGTTGGCTGCCTGTATCTTTAAACCCAAATTGGGTCCATGCAAATGCAGAAGTCCTTGCATAGGGTCGGAGCATGCTGGATGTCACTGTACAAGGCTGGGATGGAGCAAGTAATCCCTGGCAGATCAGCCCAACAACTAGAGAACTACCATGCATCTGTGCATTGCCTTTTTGAAGGCTTTATATCCCAAGAGCTTTGTCAGCTTGTGTGCAACATGGCAAAGATGCAAGTCTTAATCTAATGCTGAACATGAGTCACTAAGCCCTTTCAGAAAACTAGATCATGAGGTTGCAACACTTGCAAAACACACGGGCTTTTCTTCCTCATGAATCAGCAAAGAAGTGTCTGCATTTCAGTGCTGTGTTTAAAGCCAGCATAGCACTCACCTTTCCGAATGGAGGCTGGGTTATACTTATCATCAAACAAAAGTCAAGTTTGAAAAAATCCCACCAACCCTGAAAAAAGTGAATAAAAGGAAACAGAGAAACAATGTGAATTTTTTTCACTCTGAGTAAATAATAGCAATTATGTTACGTATACAGCTGTTGACAGTATCATGCTCGAATGGGGTGCAAATGGTGTGTTTTGTCTTCTGAGACTGGCTGGCTTTAGGAAGGTGAAGGCGTTGCCAAACCTTTCAGGAGTTACAGTTATTAGAGATCATGTTCTTCATTGTGTGGTTAAGGGCCCTAATTGCAACTTACTGACCAAATACTACTATGGGAAACTGTATCTTGTCTGTATTCTGCAGATTACTGATTTAGCTATCATCAGCTGCTGCAGTTATTCTCCTCACTGCAAATCCTGTGTCTTCATCAATAATTGTGACTTTGACCACCTTGTCCCCTTCTCCTAGGAGTCTCTGATTTCTTTGGCTACATACATAAATGCCCTTCTCTGTCTAACCTGAAGTGCTATATTTCGGCTTTTTCATGCGAGTAGCACCAGCTGAGTTTAGCTTTAGGAAGGAGACTACCATAGATACAAAGCATTTAAGCAAAAGGTTTATTACGTGGAATTTTTGGAAATTAATAGATTTCCAATTTTATTTGGAAATTAAAAGAAGAAATATTAGGCTGGACATATGTTCCTGAATTTATTTTGGATAAAAGTCTATTAGAAATGTTCAGAAAGTGTCAGCATAAATGACAGGCAATATTCACATTTTTTTCCTGATACTAGAAACTAGTTTCAATTTTCCAGCTAAGGCAAAATAAAATCATTGGCAAATTTTGTGCTTGAGCATTTCAACACCTACCCTTTTCCCTCTTATTAAGAAGAATGTAAGGATCATTACAGGTCAGTCTGATCTACTGCTTGATAGCCTGAATTGGGGTCTGATGCCTCATCTGATGCTCTCCTACTCTCCCACTTAGTTCCTCAGGGGAAGTACAAAGCTATATATCCAGATACACTAAATAAATGTTCCCAAGAAGGACATTCTGCCTTTAAAAAACTATTGAACCTGATAGCTAGTGAATATGCACTTCTTGAGTTGTGTTTTCAGCATTAATCAGTACTTACGGCTTTTTGCTATCTCAGTCTTACTTTGCTTGTCCTTTCTTTGTCAAATACTGGTACCTGGAAACATCTCATGTTATGATGTAAGAAAACAAAGCTGTGGTATGTTTCTTTTGAGTTTATGTATATTTTTCTTATCTAACACAAAACCTCATGAACAGTTCAGGTGATGGTGCTAGTTTTGAGAAGTTGAGTATTAGAACATTAATAGAGAGCCATAGGAAGTGCTGGATCATCTTAGTCTGGCATCTGCTTTCCAAAATAACAAGTCCCACCATAAAGTCTTGACTCCCAGACATAGTTCCTGCCCTGCAAGTGCTGGCAGAGGTGTCGGTCTGAAAAGCTTTCCTGAGTATGACTTGAGGTGGGCCTTGGGTGCTGCTCAAGGTATTACATGAAGGCAATGAGGCTGGCATATGCCATCCCACCACTGATAAGACTTTGAAACAAGGCAACTGGAAGGAAAAGGTGGATCCAGGTACTACACCTGGCACTCATGTGGTCAGTGCAGGTATGTGCCAGTGACCTGAATACCATCTTTACTGGGCATGAGGCAAGCAACACGTGTTCTGCACTGAGACATGTGAAAGAAGACAACCTTTAGCACTTGGTGCAGAGTGGCAAGGTGGGGAGGTCAAAGACAGAACCTGCAGGCTGATTTCAGTTCCATATTGTCCTTAAGCAGTATCCATGTTGTAATACGTTTTAAGTGCAATCCTTCAGCTCAAGAATCAGAAAGGTTAAAGATTCCCTGTTAGTTATCTCTGGTCACACAGATCTGTAATAACTACCTACAGATCAAAGACATTTCATGTTTAGCATATTTTAACATCAAGACAGAATTAATGTTGTAATTCAAGTCTTAAAATTAGTATTTGGAAGAGGCCAGTCTACCCTTCTACTTATCTGATTGAATACAGCTGATTTTTGTATCATGTTTCACATCCAGGGGCACAATCAAGGTTTTGGTACCAGGTAGCCAGGGTACAAAAGCTGCTGCAGGATTTTGTAGGTCACTGTAGTATTATCCCGCTGGATGAATGAGACTCAGAAAGCCCACTGTGTATGTTTCTGACCATGATCCTCCCCACATATACACACAAAGAAAATGATGTAAAAAGAAGAAAACTACAAATGTTGTAACACCCACCTTATCTTCAGTCTTTGCTGGTGTTGCTTCTTGTTGACTAAGTTACTATTCTGATTGTGCTAAAGCCTTATCTAGAGAAGTAAAAATAGTGAAATATTCCTTAAAGTGTTTCCATTTGCAAGTCTCAACCCTTGAACCAAAGTAACCACATACTTGAAGATCCCTTTGTCCTTGATCTTTTTTCTGAAGCTTCCAACCTTCCCTGAAACTGCAAATTGGGAATGTTAAAGAAGTCATTTGAATTTATCTATTTGTATCACATTTATATCCATTTATATTACAACAACCAAGGCAGATTCTTCAGATTTTAGGCTTGATAATTGAGACTTAGTTGTAAAACGATTCATTACACTTGTCCCAGAGTTACCTCTCCAATATATGCTATGGTTTTTGGTGTTAATGAAGGCTGGGCTGTGTGCCTCTCTTGGAAAGTGCAAAGTTTATTTTCCTGCATAAAACTTCGAAAACTGGTCAGAGGCCATTACAAAAAACAGAGGGTGGCCAAAGCAGTTTATACTATCTGTGATTAACCTCTAGATGTTTTATTTGTTACAATGGTAATGAAGAGTTACAATGCTAAGATACCGTTTGAGATGCAGTTTAAATGCAGCCCAGAGTTACACACAGCATCGCGCCAACTCTTCTCAGGCACATTTGTTTTGCGTAATGGTTTTAATATAAACCAGACCCAAGGTATTTCTGGCTGGGTTTCCTCACATTTCTCTTTCATCTTTGGCATTTCCAATTGCATATACAATCTCCCTCAGGTGGTTGTTACTGGTGTCCTTTATACATTTCCAATTTTCATTATATATGCTGCCAGTAATAACTTCTAACTATATAATAACCCTTTGGATTATAATAGGCAGTGTTCTACATTATTTCTCAGAGATGAGTTAACTCTTCTCTCTCTTCCTCCTTCTGTGATTTACAATATTGGTACAGTCAACACAGGCATCATGAATTTAACTTGATACCATCCTGCTGCTACACAGAGAGATCACAAACGTGGACATGTACTTCAGAAGAGAGAAATAAGATCAGACTATTTTTCTGAATGATGAGTCCCTGGAGTGTCTTCAAACATGGTGTATGCCCAACCACCTGCCTTCAACCTTTTCGATGGTCTGTGCAGGGAGTATTCAGGCTGTTTCACAGCAAACAAAGAGTTTGGTTTTAAAACCACCACAGGGATGGCCTCTGTGGTTATCACAGACATACAGCTCTGCTCCACTGTGGCGGTCAGGGTTCAAAGCCAGTTTTCTGTGTCCTCCCTGAGTAACTATTCAAAAAAATACTACAGACAAATGTCTGGCTTTTTGAGTGGTGTTGGTGGGATAGCATTTTACCCCTGAACTCCTAGAAGCAAGGTGTTGTAGGGCACTGCTAGGGTCATAATCCCAGATGAAATGTGAAATTACCAAAATACATAATCTGGTGAGTGCTGGAAAGTCCCAGTATCTCATGGAAATAATAATAAAAAAAGGATGCTCTATCAAATTCCACACAGTGCAGCACAAGGGCTGCTGCAACTGCTGTGCAATTCAGATGGGAAAAAAAAAGTATTCTCCAGCTTTGACTAGCCTAACTGTAATCCCCACCAAAAGCCGCTTCCATTTTGTCCCTTGGGAAGTGAGAGTGCTTACTCTGTATTTTCAGTTCACTCGTGACACTTACTGTACATGAGGGATGGACCCTAGGTTCCACATACTATTTCCCTTCCTGTCCTCTTCCCCACCCCAAATATCCTCTTCAACCACTTTTTCTTGGTTCAAACAACAAGGCTAAACAGGGGAAATTTTAAATAATGATTGAGGATTTTTTTTATTCATTTAAGTTTCAATATCATTACAGAAAATGTTATGGTACAGAGTTGTTTAACATTAGTTTTATTTCTTTGCTCATTTAATTTCCACATGAATGCTGGTAACACTAATATCTGTACAAGATCAGTCTTTGATTTTTTTTTGTTTTCAGTTCTGTACATTTTTAAATGTATTGGTTAAAAAGGCTGTCAGCACTTAAGGAAGCAATTTTTTTGTTTGTTGAAATAAAAGGTATCCAGTTACTGCCCAAGAGTACGGAGCTGGGTGGCTGCCGGGACAAGAGAGATCCCTGAATGCGCAGCGAGGTGAGAAAACCTCGGGGCTTCACTGGGTTCCCAGTGCAGCCACTCCGCTTTTGGCACTGTGCACATCAACACGAGATACAAGATAAAGAACAAGCAGAAGCTCTCTGTGAAGCAGTTATGAAGCATACTAATAAGGGAAATCCAAGTGTTGTCTACGCTAGTATAAATAAGCAGACAGCCTTGTTTTAAGAGCATAAGTAGTTGTATCTTAAAGATGAGAAAAAACACAAGTTCTGCAGGCACCTACTGCTGTCTACTAAAAGCTACCGCTATTAGAACTAGCATTGAACACACAAAGCAATTGCAAGGAAAGGAAAAAGTTGCTTTGATATAATCAGAATAAATTTCTTTGTTAAGATTTGTTTTAAAGTTTTTTTTTAAAAGGTATTTATTTAAATTCCATTTGAAATATAGTTCAAGATGTTGACTATACTGATCAACTTTTATCCAAATCAGAAAAACTAGCTGTGCCGTTGCATATTACAGGATACAGTCAATGATATGTGGACATGCATCAAAGCTTCGCTCTTGCTGGTGGCATCATAGCCTTCCAATGACCATGACATCCACCACCTCCCCCTTGTGAAGCTCCACATACTGCTCTGTCTTTGGAGGTAGCATCAACAGTCCATTGGCACTGCGCATACTCATCAGACGACTGCTCATCTGATTCCCTACGGGAGAGTGAGAGAAGAATTTCAGTTAAGTTTTCCGCTATGTTCAAATACTGCAACACACCACGTGAGAAACAAGAGCTGTTCTTATGAAGATGTTCATGGTGCTAACTAACTTATTCACAGAGCTGGGATCTCACTGTTACAAAGTGGATAGAAACACAGAACTCCACGGAGAATTAGCCTCTCTTCACCTTGGCTCTCAAAACGTTCATTCCCGCTGCTGACTGCTTCCTACCCAGCCTTCTGCATTAGCTATATCTTATGGTAAATTGCTTTTCTGTTGGAATTTCTAATCCTATAAAAATTACTTAACTTTTCAATTTGTATACTTAATACAATTGTAGAAAGACTAAAATCAGCACATTCTAGAATGTTCTTAATATACTGTTATAGAGTAAATAGAATGAATTTATTCTCTCTGAATAGTCTCATTTAGCATTACTAGCTTAGCACTAGTAGCTGAAGTAGCTGAAGCCACAAGCACTGATGGGGAGAAAACTTTTGATAAGACTAATGTTGCTAACAGAGAACTAGTTGAATCTGGCAGGTGCGAGCAGAATGAAGAAGATAAGGACCAAGGAAACAATTCCAAGAGAATGAGGTAACCTCAGAAGAAGGCCTGGTGACAAAGAAAACCAATAAGAAATCAAGAGATGACCAATCAGAACTAAGTGAGTGGACTTGGGGATTGGCTATGGGTATAATCGGAAGGTGTGATCTGGGGTACGGGTCCCTCTCCAGAGGCACCCAGCTCGAGCTGTAACCTGAGAACTAACAAGACAGGAACTGGAAACATTCACTTTGACTTCACACTTTTCAGCGCGATCCCAGGGTTGGACCCTAGGTGGCCGGCTGAACAAATCCGTATCATACACCTCCTCAAAAGAGTGGGTTTCTTTGGGACACTCAGCTTCACAACGTGCCCTGAAGAAAAACAGACTCATATTGGTAGTACCAACAAAAAATAAAAATGCAATAAGAAGTTGTGTCCTTCAGTTTCTTGGGTTTTAAACCTCCAGACTGACAGAGAAATCATTCCAGATAATCTCTTCGCGTAAGGAAAGAAGTGGTGCACAAAAAACTGAGAGTTAAACCAAATACAGCGTTACAGATGTAAGTAATACCTTGGCTTATACCTGGAAATATGTCAGAGGCTGTGTGATCTTGGGAGTCAACAGTAAGAACTTTCTCTGAGTAAACAGTAAGATTCATTTGAGCTAATGTTTATCCTGTGGAGACTTGCATATAGTACTTTGTATTGAACAATTTGGATGCAGCAAAAAGACAATTAGTTGTTTAAGGACCTGAATCTTTTGAGTAACTGGCAGAGTCAGTCTTCCAGTGCTACACAGCTAATAAAGTATTCAAATATAGTATTTACCTCAACTGCAGCTGTGTATCCAGCAGTATCCCTAGGTGGCAAACATGACTAAGAAAAGCCTTGGTCTGCTTTAAAAGAACATATACAGCCTCTGCTATCTTTTCTACTTTTCCAGTTCAGCTAGAATCATACTTTTATCTGTATTGTTCCTACCTAGGCTTCAACTTGTGTTTGTTCAGTACATGCACAACAGCATGAGTAAGCAAATGTGTCTGTGAGTGCAAGCAGCATGGGTGGATGTTCATGAAAAGAAATGTGTGCACATAGCAAGCATACAGATGTGTTGTGTGCGTGTATAAAGATGGGTTATTCAGATAAAGGAAGTTTTAATGGCTAAGTTGGTAACTCTTATCATGACTGAATTTTATAACATACATAGAATCACAGAATCAACTAAGTTGGAAAAGATCTTTAAGATCAAGCCAAACTACACCTGAGCACTGCCAAGTCCACCGCTAAACCATGTTACTAAGGATCTCATCTACGTGTTTTTTGAACATGTATGGATGTGCATAAGTATATCAGCAAATCAGCCTGAATGAGGGAGGTTATATGAAAATGTGTGCACATGCTTGGTTGTTTTTAGACATGGATGTAGGGAGGCAGGGACCTGTGTGAATGTCTGCCAGTCTGTGTGATGGGACACTAACCTGTACTCTGTGCCCAAGGTAGAGGTTCTTGGTGATGCCAAGTCAGTATGCACCGATGATATTCTGGGCGGGGGTCCAATTTTACATCACATGATAACTGTAGAAGAAGCAAAGAAAGGGTGAAAATGTCACACATTCAGATTGAACTAAGATAATGGAATCATCTGCTCAACTGTTTTTCCTTAAAAATAGTCTTCTTAAAGACCTGCATTTCGAGGTCAGATGGTGTCTAGTGCAAGATCAAAAGCTGACAAAGGTAGAGACTGCAATATTTAAGGAAAATACAACTGTGATATAATATTGTTCCTTTACTGGGAGTTTAAAAATAGTATTTCTCTGGAAAAAAAGCTTTTTTCATTTCTGGTTGCTGCATTACACTGCATAAAGATAAAAATTTTATTCACATTCAAAATCCTGCTAGCTCTGACAAAAGAGAAATGGCCATTTTTGAAATGAAAAGAGATACAAGGGATGGCTCACAACGGAATTTAATGGAACACATCGGAAAATTCATGCAAAATTCCTCTCTGTTTTAGAATATTTTAGCTGGATGCCTGAGGATCTGTGCAAGAGAGACACAGGATAAGCAGCAAGAGAAACCTGCATAGCCAAGAACACTAGGAAAACTATAAAAAGTAATGTAACCCGTGGTACTTTATTTGAATCAAAAATAAAAGAATAATACATTATAACACTATACCTTGCATTTCTATTAAACTGAGTTAAAATATCCATGATTTCTTCTAGAAGTGAAATGGATAGTTTAAGGGATTTATATTGCTTGGGGGTGGGGAGTCATGTGGGCTACTTGTATAAATAACTGAAGAACAGAAAGTTTGTATTTTCCATTGCTAGTACAGAACTATCCAACTCTTCTCTTCAGGTTTCCCAGATCACTCTGCATTTTTTACCACAGGTTAAAATCATTTATTTTTTTTTAAACAGGAAGAGCGTCCTTTGTGACTGATTGGCAAATGACTGCCTTTGCACCTGTGTATCTTGCTCCATTAAATGGTCATCTAACTCCTAGAAATTTTGGGACTGAATATTTGGGACACAGAGATTGAGGATGTATCTCTGTTTTGTGTGAACTTCCTTCAACTTGCCAGAATTAGTCTAGGGGTCAGATTCCACAAACAAGACAGGCTTGCAGAGCCTGAAGAGCTGTGCATCAACATTTTGAGAGAATTTTCAAATTGAGGACAAGCTTCTTACCCTGGCTTTGATGATGGTGGGCCGAGGATCCAGGATACCCTGCATTTTCCTCAGTGCGGGAACAACAAAGAGATTACAGGTGACAACGGCTGAGACAGGGTTGCCTGTAGGACAAAGAACAGTTGGTGGTGACTCCCTCTTGATTTACTCTGTGAAATGCTGGAAGTGATCTAATGTTTTTTATAGCAATTGCGCTTCTAAAGAACTCTAAAGAGCTCTTCATGCTACGTACAGGAAACATTTCATTCCAGAGTGGAGTGGCATGTGGGGCCTATTGTGTACATGGATAGGTCCCAGCTGATAGGGCTCTTGATTCATGATTAAGGTTTTCAAGACCTACGCAAAAATAACTTTTAATTCCCTAACATAGTGGCAAAATGCTTTAGTACAAATTCTGAGGAGATTTCTACCGATTTATATATTTTCTGTTGGCTTACAAGAGACGTGTATGACCAACATCTGTCAAACACCACTTGATTCACACATCTGGACTTTCCTAGGTGACGGTTCTAAAACAAATACTATGAGCAGACAGATGCTCCACTGAGCTCTCTCCCGGAAGCAAATGTATTGCAGTAACTAAAATAAGAGAGAGAAAGAGCACTAGAGATACATCTGAAAACCACCAGCTTATCATAAGCAGGATTCCTTGTGTAGTCAGAAATCCGTGAAAACCCAGAGAAAGAGGAATAAAATAAATTCTTCCTGATTTAGAAGATAGAGATTTGTAGCCATTTCCCTAAGGAACTGTTTATTTTGAGTGGTGATTTCCAAGGCATCGCAACACCAGGTGGTGAAGCGATGCTGCCCTCTTTTGGTTCTGCGGTACGATCAGGATTGAAAAAAAGAATTCTGTGACACGTTCCTTGGCACTCCCTCGTTTTTGTCTCTGTTTTCAGTATGTCGGAGTGGATGCACTGACTTGCACGCACAGAATATTTACTGTGAAGGCAGAGGGAGCTGTGGGAAAAAATCACCCCTGCATAGTACCACTTCCAAAACCCAAGGAAATTGTTGGATGGAAGAAACTGGCAAATTCTGAGGACAGGAACAAGAAAGAACTCCTCAGTATACCCCTGTAAGTCTGTCTCTTCTGGAAATTTCTAGGAAAACCTTACACGTACTTTCCTTAGGGATGCCAACACCGTACACAGGTGCTGTGAAATGTCACTGTTGTGTTTCACGTCTATTATATATACATGACAACAAAAGTAATCCACAAAACATCTTACCTGGGAGTGCAAAGATTATTTTTCTTACGCCATCAATATCCAGAGTTGCAAAAGTTGTTGGCAGGCTATGGAAAAAGAAAGTTATTTAATCTGTGCACTAGACTTTGTTTGAACATTATTATGTTATTATTTAAAACATTTGGAAAAGAAAACAAATCAGGATCTCTCTCAGCAGTTCATTAGCACCTGCTGCTTATTCCATACTGGGGATGTAATCCTCTCTTTGTGATGACAGAACAATTAGTTTTTCTTGGTATTCAGCTATGAAGTTTTAAGTAGATGATTTTGTGGTGAGGAAACAGCCAAGAGCAGATGAACTAATAATCAAAAATCTAAATCCTGTCTTCATGGTAGAAGCCAATTAACAAAGAAGCAAGACTGAAATGCATTACAGAGATGTACTCATTTTCATAGAAGGCTCTCCAAATTCTTTGTAACAGTAGTAACTCTAATTTCCCTTACTCCAGTGCCCACAGCAGTAGTAACAATGGAGCAGTATTTCAGAGCAGCAAATGCTAGCTGGTCTGCAGGTGAACACATTCAGATAAGCAGGCAGAGCTGCAGTCAGGTTAAGACCTAGGTCTATCAGTAAAGAGCTTGCTCTGTCTTTCAGAGCTGCTCCCAAGTGATCTTTACTGACTTGTTATCAGGGCTATTACAAATAGGACAAAAATGTGATGGCTCAAGAATGTGGCTGGCAAAGAAAAGGTACTCATCTGTGAAAAAATGATTTCTACATACCTATGTTAATAGCATCCTTTTAAACATTAGAAATGATACTTTGTAGGAATAACAGTTAGACTGAGTTCCTTGGTTTCATTTTGAACTAACAGCAGACAATAGTGGCTGACCAGCAGCAACTCTGGAGATTTGCCACACTTTGATCATTACTACCTAGTATTGTATCTGCTAGGACTAATCAATATCCTATTTCACCAGGGCAAGTTGGTGTTTGAAGTTTCTGTTCTGAAATGTCTCTAACATAATGGGAACTATGTGCCAGACCTCCAAATCTTATAACCAGTGCACAAACTGAGGTACAAAAAAATCTGATTGCTAATTCATATTTACTGAAAACTGAATTCTCATATAAGAGTTCAACACCATCATGGACTAAGTCTTCCAGTATTTTCTTCTGGCAGTGCTGCTAGACAAGGTTCAACTTTACATTAGCTCAGCAACTTTTGGATCAAGTAGAGGAATGGTAAATTCCAGGCATCATGCTGCAGCTGTGTAGTACATCAAAATACAGGCAAACAAAGCAAATTCTGACTTCACTCTTTGAACTTACTCAAGTGAATTCTTCCCAATATAGTAATCACAATTAATGTCTAAGGCCTTTTAAGACAGAATTAATAAAAACTAAGACACAGTATTTGCCATTGCACTACAGACAATGAAAATAAGAGTGCTTGCATTCTCAGTAAGATTAGATGACCAAATGCTTTGGTAGCAGCAAGAAATAACTTTCTTATGGCATAAAATGAAAATGGATATTTGGGGAAAACAAATTTCTTAAAGCTTTCCTGGCTAGTTATTAAAACTGTATTGCTACAAGTCTACAGAGGGATCACCAGAAGAAAGAACTATGTTTGCTTTCAGGTAAGCCAGATCAGAATTTAATATTCTGAATTCTCTAAATCAGGTTACGCATTCCTGTCAGCAGCAGATCCCACTTTTGGGACTTCCCCATACTGGTTGTAAGACAGTAAGACAGAAGCAGTGAGCAATTTCCATGCCTTCATCCAGCATGGGAGAAGCTTTCAGCTCACTCGTTCCCTTTATGTAAGGGAGCTGGTGGTAGTAGCAGCACAAGCACCAAACCCACATGGGCTGTATACAGAGACAGTAAAAGTTTTGTCTGTTTTCACAGCAAACACCGACTTTCTGTTTTGCTCCCTGGCAACAGTTACGGGTTAGAGGGAATTATTCCTCAAAGCTGCACTTGGCCCTGTGTTACTGGACCATGACAACAACCCAGCTGGCAATCAAAGTGCACTCTGTTGTTAGTGAGGCAGAGCAGTAGACATCTTTCTGCTGCTGTACTGTGAAAGGGAACCCTCTATTTTCCATACACATAGTTTTCATTTTCTCTACAGAGCACACTTCCAGACACATTAATTTGCAGTGCTACAGCAAAGGAAAGCAATGCTGAAACAGTTTTCTGAGGCAAACTAAACATATAAAGGATTGTGTTTAATTTAAAATTACTCAGATAAAACTTTGTAAATTAGCTGTCATTCCATCTCTCTCAAGAAATTGCTTGTTTGTAGGAATATGACTTTAGCAAATTTTGAAGTGAAATGAGATGCTCAGTAACCAAACCAGCAGCTAAATGTCCTTATGTTTCCCAGTTATTTCATAACAATGTTGACATTTGAACTCTGTGATGACAGTGAAGACTGTGGCAACATTTCCAGCATGCTGGTTTCTCCCCAGTCCCCAAGCTTGCTTTGCAACAGTTATCAGAGAAGTATCTTTTACTGATAAAAAGTAACCTTTCCATTCCTGTTAATTTCACCCATAAAGATGATGAATAATCTGAACAGGACTGATCTCCCCCCCCCCCCCCCCCCATATCTACCATGTGGTTTATAGTATATTTGGAAAACTCAAATCTACTGAAGAACTTCTACAGGATATTTGGCCCCCATCTGTGCTGCCTAAGTTGAAAGGTTTCTTACCCTGGTTTCATAAAAACTCTGCCAAAGTGAATCTGTGCATGAAGATCAATATCCAGCACCTGTTTAAGATAGTCCTGTTCAAATTCAAAACAGAAAATCAATTCAGTAACATCAAAGTGGCTTACATCATCTAAGCATTCAAAGCAATTAATTAATATCAAGTGAAGATGAAAGACTTTTCATATCCTGAAAGTGCTACAGTCCAGTGGGGAATTTCCAGTATTTGAAAAAAGTATTTTCAAAAAGAAGTGGTGAAGAACAGACTTAGTTTAGGTGCCATCCTGACTCCATGAGGACGTAGTAATGCATTTACTTAAATGTCAGCTGCAGCATCAGAATCTTAGAGGACCCCACAGATACCTACTACTAAAACATTCTCTATGTCAAAGATGGAAAAAACCTGTATGGTTCAAAGTTAAGACTTAAGATCATCAAGTTATTTAATTTTTGCCATGGAAGCTATCTAGCAGTAGATTTAGAAATCTCCTAGTACTTCTGAAATCAATACTGTACTGTAGAAATCATAGTTTTCCAGGATACTGTAATTACTGCAATTTCTTGGGGACACGGTCTAATTCACAGTGGCTGGGGTTAACAGTCCTTACAAAGGAAAAACTGTGGGTAGCTTATGCGTTAAAGTTAAATGATTTTGCATAAATACAATTGATCCAGTTATTAAACCAAACTGAATTACTTGCTTAGTCTTTCTTGAAAATTGCTGTGTTTCAAGATGTAGTATCCTGTTTGTTGTGTTTAGTGAGATTAAAGACAAAGGACATAACAGTCATCTGTGAAGAAAGATTATTATAGCAGTAAATGTGAAGCTCCCTTGCAGTTTTCCCATCTGTCTCTCTCTCTCTCTTTTTTTTTTTCTTTTGGGTGTGTGTTCAAATACTTAGAAAGCAGCAACTTTTTTCAGCCAGGCATGAATTCTATATAATTTTTTACTTTCTATTTACTTTCTGGATGTTCACAGTTATTTTATTAAAACTGCTGAAAGCTCAGTATCAGAGGGGTAACCATCAGGGGAATATAGTCTATGACTTCATGCTGTTGCCTCAAATTCAGGCTGGGGAGAAATTAGCCAGAAGGCAGGAACACCTGTAAGACCATCCAGCAGTCCAGTCACCTCCAAATGTTCCTGTCTCTGCACTACGTTGCCACGTTCCCAATTTAAAGACGAGCACTTGTCCTTCATTATTTTTCTAAGACTACTGAGGACAATAACGGGATTGAAAGTAATTGACACTGGTTTAACTAGTTATCCATTTTCATGATGTATCCAACAATATGATTTCTACTCAGAAAAGCGACAAAAGCAGCACTCATGTTTGCCATCTCCTACTGACTGTCTTTAGTATCTGATATTATAAAAGGAGAGATGTTTCTTTTACCTGCCAAACTCACAGATTCAGCCTGGGATCAAAAAGTAATCTGAGTTTTCCTTGAGTCATGATTAATAAATGTCCTGAAGGTTCATCTACGCCCCACCAGCATCTGTGTATCCCTATTTTCTTTGATGGTTTTGGCACAGGGATTACCAACAGGAACTCAATCAACAATTCTGTTAATGATTCAAAAGGCAAATATATCAGCTCACTGTGTCTCATATGTATTGCCTCTGCAGGACTATCAGGCGCAAAATGTGATAAAACTATTTTTGTAACAGATACAGCTTTGGCATATTCAGGAGACAGATCTGCTGAGCAAGAATGAGCTATTTATATACTCAGGTTGTTTTTCAAAGTGCTTTCGAAGTAGCTTTATTCTATCTACTTTTACCTGCTCTAAGAATAAAAAGAAGTCTGTGGCCTTCATATGCTATTAACCAAACACCTTCCTCATCATAACTATATAAATCATTCCTTAAATAAAAACACATTTGCAAATCAAGAATTAAAATCTTCCCTGTTGTACAGTAAAAAGAACAAAGGGAATGAGGATAGCACTGAAGACTATTTTCTTAATTAGTTCACATTTAAGTGTTCCAAAAAAAGTAAGATCCCTTTTTAAATAAACATTAATACAAAGGTAGAAGCTCTGACGACAGTCTCTGGCTTGAAATTCTTACATATATTGTAGGAAGTCATACTTAAATTTAGCATACCTTTTCCCCCATAGATACACCTCCTGATGTAATGATGACATCAGCACGGCTGATACCCTCATTCAGTGCATTCAGTAAATCATCTGGGCTACAGAAAAGAATAGGCAAGTGGATTAGTGGCATGGAACTAGTACGAGTTGTAGTGTAAGCAAGTGTCTGTGTGCACACATACAGATGTATACACACGCACACACGTACTTTAAGAAAGAGATACAGCTCTTGGCTAATATAAGGTTTTTTCTTTTTCAAGACTCCACCTTGCTCTACTCCATACAATCGCATTAAGTGAACACCACACTGTTTGGCACCTTTCTGTCTAAGAGCTTTGCAACAGGAACATTGGGATACTTTAGGCTGGGATTGAAGAACATTAACACAAGTGTCTGAAAGTATGTAATTTGCACAGTAGGTAGCAATACAAATTATGATTTAGATGAACTGACAGGGCTATATAAAGGGACCTGACACATGAAAATTACTGGCCACCAAGCAGGCTGCAGTACTACCTGTCTAGCTTACCTGATGTGTGCAAAACTAGGGGTAAGGCTCCACTTCAAACTTTCATTAGTGAAAAGTGGGAATAAATCCTTTGTCTATCTTCTCCATTAGAGGGCTCTGCAGCAAAGCCAGCTGTACCTCCACTTCAGCTTGAAAAAACACAATCCATCCTGTTCAAATGTCTATCTAACTTCTTGAGAAACAGTGTAAGCAGATATGTGATGTTCCTCCATACAAAGAGTACAATTGCAAAGGTGAAGGATAGAAGCTGAGTGTATTTCAGTTTTGCTGTCTTAACTATTTTCTTTTTTATATATATATTTTATTTGAGATCTAAACTAGTGGAGAAACTCTGTAATACAGCTTACATAAGACCAAAAGAACTCAAAAGAATTTTCAATATATCAAATAGATACTGTAATATTTGTGAACTGACCAGAAGCTGACCAGTTGCTATGACTGTGTGTAACGTTCCTTCAACAGTATGTTTTTATTTCAATGATTCTCAAAGTTTTTCATGGAAAGCTGTTCCTTCTTAGAATGCTAGTGACTGTATAAAGGACTTCACCTAGAATACAGCACCTCAGTTAAATGCCACACTAGAATTACAAAATACCATTATGGGTTATCAAGGTTTGCAGGCTGCAGGTGGCATGTGGGCTGTCTTTTGGGAGCTTTGGCTATATTTCAATAAAAGATAGAATCACTGCAGTTATTTTGGGGTCTGAGCTGGAAACAGGAAAATCAGAAGTACTAGGCAAGTCCTGGTTGACCTTTTAGAGACTAACAGAAATGGTGTACTTCAAAAGGTCTCAGAAAGAAAAATCCTTTCCTCTGAGCATCCTGCCTTTGCTCATGGTTTATTGAAATCAAAGCAGCAGTTAGCATTATGTGCACAGCATTATGCTGTGCACGCTACTATTTATGTCACACAAGAAAGACTTTGCTCCCTCACTGAGTAGACATCTCAAGTGCATGCAACTGCACACCCCTCACCTCCTCACCAGAAATCCCTCACATGTCCTCTAACCTGCTCATGCCTTACAGGCAGAAAGACTCAAGACCCTTTCTCCACCATGTTCAGTGACTGATGCATCATCTTCTTTGGTATCACGGTGTGGTTATCCTGGAAAACTTTTATATTTGTGTTTGGTTACATCCAAACACAAACTGTTTAGGGTCGTATTTCTTTGTAAGAGGTAGGCAAAAAACCACAGCAGAAAGAAGGGCAGATTGCTGGTGCCACAGAGCAGGCCATAGTCAATAGATAGAATAATACCCTACCATTTTTTTAAAGGAAGCGGTGGTTTCAGGTACTGTGGCATGCCTCCACAACTTTTGCTTAGTGTACTGGGTATCTTGGATACCCTAAATGGCCTATTATGAATGGCTGAATTCTGTTTTCTCTGGGAGAAAATACAGAACATACGGATTCTAACAAAAACCATCTCCTCAATTCTTCAGGAAACAGATGTTTTCTCAGCTGCCCCTTCTGAAATCTCAGGATGATTTTATCCAAAATCCAGCACAAGTCTTCACTAGTTGTTGAAGGCAAGAGGAAAGAAGCAAGTCTGTTGTTGGCTACTGTCAGTATCTTGTTCAGAACCAAGTGTTTCATATTCATTGTCTAATTAATAATCTGTACGTAATAAGATATTGCTTAAGATTATTACAGAGTTTTATTAGGAAAAGTCAAGATCTAAGCATTCCTTAATCCTTGTCAACGGGGACTGGAGTGCAGACTGGAATGCAACAAGGAATATGTGTTCTTTACACAGGTTGATAGAGGTCTTCCTGAAGCTCGATGACAGTCAGACACACTACTGTTACTAGTATAAGACTGCTTTCAGTGTATTTTTCTCATTAGGTTGTGATGCAGCTGAGGACCTTTCTGGAGCTTGCTTCAGGCTGTTTAATTTTATCTTGCTTTAATATTTAAGAGTTATCCCTAGGTAGCAAGACCACCTGTCTGAGAACATCCTAAGTCTGAATTATGAAGTGTGCTTGTTTTCTACTGTGGTTTGAGAAAAATGTAAAGAACAGTGAAAAGCAGTCAAGTGTATATTTAACTGTTGTTAAACAGAATGGAAGTTCTCCTACTTACATACCAAATATATGCATGTGTGTATATATATAAAGTTACTTAACAAAGGAAAAAAACAAACTAACCCAAAGTAAGCCCAAACTCGAACCAGGTGAGAACTCAACTCACACCTTTGTTTATGATGGTAGCGTATCACTGGAGTAGTTCATCATACTGTTTTTTTTATTACATGTAATGTAAAACATTGAAATTAGTGGAGTCGGTGCATTATTTTTTAGCATTTCCACTCGAATGACCTGTATAATATGTCCCTTTCTTTACCATCTGTATTATGCAAGACATTTAAAAATTCTACCTCTAAAACTTTATCCAACCGATAGCACTCTCTATTATCTTCAGATAGTTGCCAAATGCACTGAATCCTTCCAAAATCAAAGATGTGATAGAAATTTTATTGTAATAAATTGAATTATTATGCTAGCTTGGTTCTTATTCTGAAGAAAGGAGACATTTACAGAATTCTCTCCCTTGCCTTTGCAGAAGGTTTCTCTCTTTCTAACACACTGGGCACATTTCTTTTTGTTCACTCAGGTCTGTCTAACTTTCTATCCTACTTGAGTCTGGCAGTTCCATGACTCGGCAGTTAATACAAAACACTCCTTACAGGAGTCACCTGCCGTAATCTTCAATCAACACTGCAGCTAACATTTTTCTTGCCTTTAGTCGAATTAATGCAGAGAGTTATCATTCAAATGTCTATTAACACATATTTGATATAATCAGATAAGAAGATGCTACTTCTTGTTTAATTTGTTGTATAGCAATGAGCAGCTTCACCTTTGGATTGTCACAGGAAAAGAATAAAGTGAAGACAATTAACTTTTGAATAGACAAAATAACTTTGGCATCTGAGCATAAGAGGAAAAGATTGTTCAAAAAAGCCTCTGACAAATCACCATGAAGCTGAGAAATAATACTCACTGAGCAGGTACAAATCAGGAACTATGTTCTGGCCATTGCCAGGGACAAGATACAGGATTAGCTAGACTAATGGTCTAATTTAGTATGATAAATCCTTTAAAATGTCTTGTGAAAGTGCTACGTTTGGATTGTTTTCCTTCCTGGACAGAACTGTAACAGGTCCTCTAATATAATGGTGAATACCTTAATCAATGTAAAGTAGATTTTGATGGAATGTTTCATTTCCAGATGGCAAAACTGTTCTGTTTCATTTGGTGATTTTCAAAGTCAGAGTGACACTGTGCACAAGAAGGGAGTGTGCTTTTCTAACATGCTGCAATTGATTGCAAAAATTACATTCCCTGTATGTTGCACATCACAACCCAGCGTCTTCTGTAAATACAACTAAGAAAAGTTGTTCTAGAACAATTACAGTTTACGAAACTATTTATATAGGTAAGAAAGCACAAATCCAACCTTTTTATCAACAGTAGAAATCCCCATCTACAGCAGATTGTGTCTGTACAAATATGTATTGTACATATATTTTTGAAACTGCAGACATAATACTTTGCATAAAGAAACCACGTACTTTTAAGTATACCTTTATATAATATGCTAATTTTGTCAGTTTGATAAACAGAGTATCAATGTCACTACCTCTATGTCCTGACCCTTCTCATACAGAATAGAACAGAATAAGCAGTACAATCTGAAAATTAGTCGGAGGGTGTCTGCTGTATAGTGGCAGGAGGATGTGTAGAATCCAACAAGCAGATGCATGACATTGCAGTTGACATGCCACTTGATTTCATTAATTTGAAGAGAGGGCTTGCAGGCTGGCAGTACACCAGAATGGGAACGCTTTCTGGATTCATGAAAAATTCTGATTATCAAAGCTAGTTTGTAGAAAATTGTTACAGAGCACTTGATTACTAAGCTGTCTTTGAACTGAAAAGATACGCAGGAGCTTAAAAGCTTGAACAAGAAAATTATGCAAGCCTCATTAAAATAGACATCAGCCATGTAGGAGATTTTTTTCTTTATCTCCCTCAAAAGAAATAGCTACAGTACAGCCAAGAATTCTCAATGTTTTAAGTGCCATTTTGAAGTACCCTAAATTACAGTGTAATTTTCTCTTTCAAATAGAAATCAACATCTGTTAATTCACTTCTGTTGATCCTATTGTGTGCTTCACTGTCATTAATTATAAATCTGTCAGCCTTTTCAGTGATACAACCCTTAACACCAGCAGTTTGATACATGCAATTAAACTGCTCAGTGTTATAATTTAATTTAGAAAACAAGTAACAACAAATGGTGATCTGCATCACCTACCACTTTGAAGTAAAACGAGTTAGTTATCCCTGTAAATTTGAACTGGAACATTCAGTTAGGACTGACTTACCAAGCCATTGTCAAAGTACAAAATCCACAGTTCACTACTGATTTCCAGGACCATTTCCACCAAGTTCTTTGCCACAGTAGTCTCGTTCATTTAAATTAACCTCATTACCTGACAGTCATTTCCAGTCCTTGTTGTTCATTGCCATATACGGCTATTACTGTTGGGTGGCTAATAGAAA